GGTCGGGACAGTATTTGGGTCTGCCTCCTCTGATCGCATTAACACGGCAGGAATTTTTTTTTTCAGGGATCTTGGCGGCGTTTAATGCTAAACCATTTTATATGGTGCACATAACGTAGACACACTTGTAACCTAAAACACCACCTTCAGGGATGTTGGTTAAAGGTGACGATGTCTCAGCCCCTTTCCAACAAACACATACCTATCTATCCAGTTAGTTAATACCTGTTTCACCCTCTTATGTTCGCATGTTTTCACAGACGACCCCCCCCCCCCCCCCCCTTTTTTTTTTTAATGGTCCTGCTGGGGGTCACAAACAAACTTATGATTTATAAATACTCATCGTCATTATCATGTACCATGCCGGTAAGCGTCGGCTGTCACATGAGATCACAGGATCACGGATCCGGTCAATGTCCTTCTCTCAAGCCATCCAAATAGCCACACCAACCAGGTATTTATCTCTCAGTTCCTTCCGCTTGCTCTCTTTCCAATTTTGATAGTGGTTGAAGGGTTGAACAACGGATCAACATCATGACACAAGGGTCGTAACCCATAAGCGCTCCGTTCTAATTCTAACTCAAGCTTGAGTCCGAAGAATCTCAGCGCAGTGCACGAACTCAATCAACCGGCGAGGATCCTCAAATACTTTTGGGTAGATTTTTAACTCCAGATTTTGTCTGGGCAGCGCCGTCAGGCTAATCTTTTCGAGTTCCAACTGCCAAGGGATTGTTTTACGTGCGCAACAATACACATAGGCGTCAGATCTGACTACCCAGGGACTAGGGGAAATTACTAGGAGTCCAGGTGCAAAAATCCCAGCCCTCACCGTTTTTCAACGTCTGCTCATTGTCCCTGTCTCGCATTCACGTAACAACACAGGTTCTATATGACACTTTAAACACTATTTCTTTTTGCAACGGATAACTGCTCATTGGTGAATAAATATTTTTTGCATCTTGCTAAAGGCAAGTTTTGCTACAACGATTCTTGATTTGATTTATGCAAGTCGTCTATCTGATGTCGTAACTACACCAGTTTATATCGTTACGTCCTTTTTAGGACGTAATTTTTTGTTATTTGAAGCTCCACTCTGGCCTTTGCCAGGGGCCTCAATATAGGCAGGCCATAAATATGGTCAATTGTCTGAACGCGGTTTCTGGGACCTCTCCACGGTGATACTCACCCACATGGTGGCACTTTGTGTCATCGGATGTTTGTAGCTTGTGTGATGTCCTAGTGGGGTAGAAATTCATTCATTCATTCACTACACCAGTTATCGTCATCTCTTTGTGGGATTTAATGTTTCCTTATTTTAAGGCCCCTTCGTGTCTTTTGATGGAGGTCCTAATATGACCTAACGGTCGAACGGGGTTTCTGGGAGCTCTCCAGGGGGATCCTTATCCGAATGGTGGCACTTTTTGTGATGTCCTGGTGGGGTAACAAAATCCATCAGTAACTGAGCCAAGATCTTTAAGTAAGGCTCTGTAGGTGATCAGTAATAATACTAGTGTTATTAATAAAAATAAGTGCTGAATAGCAAAAAATATAATAATATATTTAAAAAAATGTGTGTTTAAACAGAATCTCCATAAGAAAACTATACATAGTTTAACCCCTTGCACTGGTGTGTGTGAAGAGGCTCAAGGTACCAACATTCCTTAGGTTCCGGCGCCTCTTAACGGGGGGGGGGGGTTGCTTAAACCCAGGTTTTTGTGGATTTCGGACAACGGTACGAGAGTCGGGCGTGGGGACTATATAGCCAACCTTCATTGTGGAGGCGGCACATGTATACATAAAACCGAGGTGTGTGTATGTCATAACCGGTGAGATAAAAGTGGCGCTACAGAAAAAGAATGTGTAGCCGAGTGTGAAAACAATCAGCGGACAACTAGCAGACGAGACACCGCTGGTCGTGCCAGGGTTTCACGAAACTAGCGGTAAACTGTGTATAAACTGTGTAATGGTAGAGTTTTTGTTGTAACACGATAACTCCTCATCGATTTCTTTGGATTTGATTGCGTAGCGTTGTATTTATCTGCCAATTCGTGGATGTTTCATCGGCTCGGTTCACTTACCGAAAACCATAGAACACTTTGTCAGTGCTAAGCAGATTTTACTTAAATCTTTATATTCCAAGAGATTAAGCAATAAATACAGAGACACTGTAGAATAGAAGTTAAGCAAGGGATATTTTCCCACGTCTTCAAACGTTTTGGGCATATAGGGCTAGACCTATATTATATAGACCAATCTGCACTCTGTGTGTGATATGGTCAGCATTTTGTCGACCGCCTTTACTTCCCAAGACTTTGCCTGGTACCCATTTCGGACTAGGTCGAACTGGGAGCAAATGTTATCCGCGAAAAAAAAGGACCGTCAGGAGCCGAGCCTCTACGACCTTCTGATCCATAGGCGAGCGTCTAGCCGCTACACCACGGCGGCTTACTTAGGACAGAAGTAGTTGAACTAGGCGATTCTCCGCCTGTAGGTTTCAGCAGTCTCATTGTTTAAGGGGGAGGGGGTGGAGTGAGAAAAGAGCTCATTCTCCTCAGTGATTTGTTTGTAGTAGCACACTAGTTTCTGCTGGCTGCGTGGATTTTTATCATCGTACTAGCTGTACCCGGCCACGCGTTGCTGTGGCTCAGTCTTTCGAAATGGAAAAGAAAGAAAATAGAACGCGCACGTGTCTAAAAAGGGTAATATCACAATCGGTGTCTGCGCAGATGTACAGATACTCTGATTGGCCGGCTCTAGAACACGCAACATATAAGTGTCTTTATATAAGTGATGGTTTAAATTGTATTATTAGGACTTAAAAAGAACGTTTTTTTTTTGTGTGTGCCACAGGCTAAAGTTTTTTTTTTTCTAACAGCTGAAAGTAAAGCTTCTAAATGACAAGCAGACTCGCAACAACAACAAAAAAAAAAAAAAAAAATGCGAATAGCAGAGGAAGCGTTATTAAAATAAAAATAATTTTAAAAAAATGAGAACCTTAAAATCACGTGTCCACCCAGGCTTATATGGACTTTAAGCTGTCTCAGTTAATAAAGTCTGTCATCACCCCCCCCCCCCCCCCCCCCTTTCCCTGTTCTCTCAACATTTAAAGGTCGCATATCCGCGTAAATAACAACTTGCACCGTGAACGCGGCAAAAATTAAATTGAATTGTCGGGATACAAAACCAAGAGGCCGATGTGATCATCGCTGGAGCTGTGTAGGTCATGCCTCTTATATAAAAACATGCATGTATTCGAATGCAACGCTTTGTGAAATTTTTAAAGCAATAGACAATTTCAAAGCGGTACGGATCATGGGGGGGGGGGGGGGGGGAAGCAAACTTTGGCAGCCTTGCTCAGCAGTCAAAGCTGCGGAACTAAAAACAATTCCGAGCCATCAACGAAACAAAAACCGATGTGATCGTTGCTGTATCTGTGTGGTTTGTGAATTGAGCGACACTGCTACATAAAAACGCGCGTGGCCGAATGCAACATTGTGTGAAAATGTGAAAGCAATTAGTGAAGAATTTTAGGAGATTAGCTATAACAATCAGTGGAATGTTACATTTTTAATAATATAATAGATGAGATGTCGCAGGTTGACCCAGCATAAAATGGATGCCAGGATGTATGTCCTGGGGGAAGTAAAGATGGCCAAGGAAATGCTGACCACATTACCCACCTAGTACTGATTGGTCTGTAAAAATATTGGTACTCTTCCCATATGCCCGATGCGCCTAAACTCGGGAAAGGATATCTCTACTTACTTAACACACTTACTTACTTTTACTTTTACTTTTTCCTTCCACGTATGCCGCTAAGCGTTGTGGGGAGATGCAAGTTCCTGTCATAAGCAAGGCGGGCAGCATCTGATGTTCTGAGGCCATGCCTTTGGCAGGTTTTGGAGACCCCGTCAATCCACCGTTTCCTTGGTCTTCCTCTTGCCTTATATCCTGAGCTTCTTTGGTTGAAAATTTGTGATGTTATTTGATCATTTTTCATCCTGGTTAGATGTCCAAACCATTTCATTCTTTGATGTTCTATGTAGTCTAAACATGGCGTAGTTTTGACAGTGTTTCTAATGTCTATATTCTTTATCCTGTCTAGTCTGGTCCTATTCGCTGCTTTTCTCAGACATTTCATTTCACAGGCTTCTATTTTTCTTTCATGGGTCTTGTTGATTGTCCATGTTTGGCACTGGTAGCAGAGTGTTGGAATGAAGATGGTGTTTATACACACTTGTTTGCACTATATAGTAGTGTTAACTGTCTCTGACTAAAACCCTATTCCAACACTTTTCTTTTTGTGATGTCTTAGCAATCCAAACTGTTTTACAGATAATTCATAGCGGATTATGGATAAGTCATCCGTTTAGTACGTAGATGTAGAAAGACAAGTCTCTTTTTATTCGTGTTGTTGTTGTTCTTCTTCTTCTTCTCCTCTTCCTCCTTCTCCTCTTCTTCTTCTTCTTCTTCTTCTTCTTCTTCTTCTTCTTCTTCTTCTTCTTCTTCTTCTTCTTCTTCTTCTTCTTCTTCTTTTTCTTACAGCTGTATGTTTATAACATTGCTCTCAGTGGTGCCCTGTCTGTTGCCAGTCTTGTTAAATGGCCACCCTATCTGATCTGCTGTTTATTTATAAATTTCAGTAGTGGTTTCATGTTGAGTGTCCTTTTGAAATCGTCATTCCTAAGTCGATCTTTCCTTGTTACGTGTAGCATGATACGTAAAGATTTCATTTCTGTCATGACTATTTTTCTTTTGCTTTCAAAAAAAAGCTTTCATAAGGTTTTTTTTTATTACCCTTTAGCAAGTTTCACTTATGTTCAACTAATCGGCTGATTGTCCTTTATTCACTTCCTTACTTCAGAATTGGCCCTTACTGATGCTCTATTCCAACACATTTCTGTTGTGTTTCAACAGGCAAACAGTTTTACAGATAACTTATACAAAGGCGCCAATACAAAAGGTGCCTTAGTGAAACCCCTGAACACCGGATTAACTTTATGGATCACAACCACGACCATTCGACGATGGATCACAGCCATGACCATGCTACGATGGATCATTCCAACCATGTCATGCAGACAACCACAGGGTCAAACCACGATCATGGGTCAGGGGGTCACGATCATGGATCAGGGGGTCATGGATCCATGGATATGATGTACATGAAGGTGTGGTTTTTTTAAAATAAATTTTCTGCTTGTTTATTTGTATACATATCAGCATCTTTTGCTTAGGAATTGAGGACATGCTTCATAATTTTATGGTGTTTCACTCCTGTTAAGTAGTTACTTACATAGTTTATCGATACTCTTATGCCCTTGGATTAGAGATTTGTCAAGGGAATCACCAGACTTCTCGTTTGTGTGTGTGGCTTGGTTTCATTCCAGTCCATTCAGAGACTGACACAATAATAGTACTTCTCTGGAAAAAGAAAAGCAGCAAGAGAGACTGTGAAAAGTATAGAGGAGTTTCATTATTGAACCACACCGGGAAAGTATTTTGTAAGATCCTTGAAAAAAAGGCTACGCCCTATCATCAAACCACAACTTAATGAAGGGTAAATGGGATTTTGGAAAAACGGAATTTGTACTGATGCAATATCCACACTTAGACAATTAGTGGAAAGGTCGGTAGAAGTATTTAAAGAATTAATGTCACATTCGTAGACCAAGAGAAGGCTTTCATTGGATTTAATAGGAATAAATTATAGAAGGTTCTACAGGATTATGGAGTAAATAAACACCTTATTAAATTGTGCAAAAGTTTATATGTGAACAGTCACTGTGCAAGTAGAACAAATACAGGAATGTCAGAAATGTTATAGATTAGATCTGGAGTGAGACAGGGGTGCTTTCTATCACCACTACTGTTCTTCACATATGTCGTCCAAATTTGGAAATCAGGTAACATCAGCAAGGGGGACAACATTGGAGAATTACTAAATGAATTGCTTTTTGCCGATGATCAGGCAGTGAAAGCACCAATAACAGTACAGCTACAAGAACATATTAATAGACTCCACTCAGAATGCAACAGCTATGATATGAAGATCAGTGTAGACAAAACAGAAGTGATGAGATTCTTCAGAAAAGGAAGTAGCACCAATATCAAAATTGATGAACACCAGTTAAAGCAAGCAAAGGATTTTACATATCTGGGGAGCATTTTTTCAGAACACGGAAGAATTAATAAAGAAATCCCGTGAAGATGCATTAAAGCCAATCAAGTTTTTGGTCAATGACACCAATTCTCAAATGCGAGTATGTGAATATGGACACTTAAAGAACGCTGTTCAACACAGTATTCTTACCAATGCTATGCTTTCAATGTGAAACATGGACACTGTTTTCAGAAGACAGAAGGAAAATAGTCTAGGTATGACGACTAAAGATAAACTTAGGAACGATGATATCAGGAGGAGAGTCGGCAGAGAACCAGAACTGAACTTTTTAGGTAGACAACAAATCAGATGGTTTGGGCCATGTAACAATACTGGCAACTGACAGGGCACGACAGAGAGCAGTGTTATATAGATACAAATATAACAGAGCCAGAGGTCGACCACACAGAATATCAGAGACACTGAAAAATACTTGATATGAAGCAAAAAGAAGGGCCCTTTCCTGAGATCTTTTCCTGTCCTGACACTGTGAGGCATTCCAGGAGTAGAGAAAAGAAGTTGTAGTCAGACTAGGACTGCTGGATTTATAGTTTCTGCCATGAATCTACTGTTATTTGTTAGTCATGTCTTGGCAAAGCCGTGGTAACATAATGGCTAGATGCTCGCCTGAAGGTTCGAATCAGCATTAACTCTTTCAGTCCCAAGAAACCTATCAAACATTTATAGGTTCCTACCTAGAAGCCCAGTGAATGCAAGATGTGCTGATTGTACATCTCTCTTTACTGCTCCTTGGGCCTCTGATGCTAAACCCACTTGGACTGAAAGAGTTTAGTCAGATTGTTTTTTAATTTTCAAAAGTGACCTTGTCTCCAAGGTCGACCCAGCCTAATATGGGTGCCAAGCAATGTCATGGAGAATAAAGTTCTCCAGCCGCTGACTACGTCACCAGTTGAGTGACGCCTGGTCTGTTGTTGTTGTTGTTATCGATCCAGCGGCGCATGAGCTTTCGCCCTTTGGCCCAATGCCATGTAGTGGAATTTGCATGTTTTCACAAGCTGTTCTTTTCCTCCGTACAAGGTGTTCCACTTGTCTGGTCTCGGAGGGAGTAGCATTCTTCTAGTCTTGTTGAGTTTTGGGCACTCAAAGAGATGGTGTTCAACAGTTTCGTAGGGGTAGTTACATAGCTGGCACTCTGGGGAGTGTTGTGGCTGTATTCTGTTTAGGTGTCCAGTGAGTGGAGTATGTTGCGTTCTAAGTCTGAAGATGGTGGTCTGGTCCCTTCTTGTTAGATGGTTAATGCTGTCATTAGGATCAGGGCCAGACATATGTCTATACACCTCTCTTCCAATGTCTCCCATGGCCCTTCTGTTCAACCAAGTCTCTTTGTTTATAGCTCTTATCAGTGTTTTTAGTCTGGTCTGTAAAAGTATGATTCCAATATCATATGTCCGATATGCCACTTGCGTAAAAAATGTCGTTTACTTTCTATTTTATACTCATGTCTTGATATTAATAACTGGTTTGAGATATAAATACTTTAATAGAATACTTTCTATCCCCAGATGTACTTTCATGATGGCTATTCAGAGTACATATTGTTTGAAAGCTGTTTAACAAAATCTCCAGGAGGTATGCCATTGCTTTTTTAAAAACTTTTTTTCTAAATTATTTCTGTCTTTAACTCCTTTTATCTGGAAATTCTCTCAGATTGAACTCCAGTCTTCATTAGTCGCCTCTAATGACATACATCATTAGACTTTGCATCTTGTTTAGGCGCCAATAACGCACAGGTCATAAATATTTTTATTCTGTTTTATTTTGATAATAATTGTAGGTTCGGAGCCCCATTTTGGGGCAAATAAGAACAGACCCACTGCCCCCTGCCCACGCCAACAAGTATATTGTAAAAGCCAACTAATTAGGAGCTTCCTTTGAAGTCAGAGTGCATCTATCTGAGAGGTGAGGAACCGACAGTCTGCATACAAATAAGTCAGGTCTGTAAAAAAAACCGGATATCCATGAAAATCTCAAGTTCTCGAATAAGACCAAAGTCTAGAAGTGGACGAACAACCAAAACTGTCCGCTGTCCACAGACAGTGAACGTAAACAAGAAGATGAATTAATGTATGCATTAACACAAATTTGAAAGCTTATCCACAGAATGGAGGGTGGGTAGCTCAGCCCCCTCAGTGCAGAGGTGGACAATCAACTAAAACTTTCTGTTTGAGTTAACAGCCAGTGAAGGCTGAGAAGATGTTTCTTTGGAATGTATCTGCCTGACAGGCAAGTGAACAATGGAAGCAAAGATCTGTAAAATGGAAGCACATGCAACACTCAGTTCCTAGAACAAAGCCAAAGTCTAGAAATGGCCGAACAACCAGGTTTTTCATCGGACTTTACAGTTGGTGAACATTAAATAGCTAACAGCTGATTCTCTCTTCCATTTTATTCATGCAGGCATGGTTGGTGCCTGCTTTATCGTCTTCTTCTTGGCTGTACTGTATGAGGGTCTGAAGTTCCTCCGAGAGATTGTTCTCCAGCGTTCCCTTGCTGGCAAAGCTCACACTGTTTACACAGTAGACACACTACCAGCTGGTTCCAGTCAGGAGCAGATGGTCATGCAGATTAGGAACCCGTCTGTCACGTGAGTGTCGTCCCATCCCCCCTCTTTCAGATTATAGATATAAAGTATACCCATCCATCATGTTTTTTTTTTCAGGCTGTACATGTAAAATAGATCCATCTGTTGTGCGATGTACGATTTTTTTTTTTAAAGATTGTCAGTATGAAATAGACCCATCTGTGTTTTTAGGACGTAGATGTAAAGAGAGTCTGTGCTCCATTGCAGGACAAACAGCCAGAAGTATAAAAATAAGATTCAAAGTAGATTTTTTGTTTTGTTCAAATCTGTCATTTAGTTGTTTTTATTTTCCCTCATATTATAAATATAAAGTAAACCCATTTATCACATCAGACCCACTGTGGGTTATGGGACTCATAATCTGAGAGGGGGTAAAGAATGGATCCACAGACCCCACTTGTACAGTCATGCCGTAAAAGGCAACTGTTAGGAGCATTTCCTTTAAAATTGCATCATCCTGAGAGACGAGGAACCAACAGTCTGCATATAAATAAGTCAGATTTGTAAAAGAGATGTGCATGCAAAACTCAAGTTCTGGAACAAGACTAAATTCCAGAGGTGGACGAACCACCAGAACTTTCAACCGGACTTTACAGATGGTGAGCACGTGAAGATAAGAAGCAGCACAGTGACATCAGATTTTACATTAATTTCAACAACAGTATGACTGTCAAACTGTTTAGACCGCAATAGAAAAACTATTGAATGTAAAAATTTTTGAGTGCAACCAAAACAGCCATTAAATTCTGGAGTTGATTTATGAAGTCCTTTTAAGCAGAGGACTCGATCCTTTCTTAAGCTAAACCCCCCCCCCCCCCCCAACCCTAGCCCCTTCGAGTATATGGCAAGGAACTAAAAATCTAGGTTAAAACAAGTACAGATGCACTGTGTTTCAACATTGTTTTATGCCCCTGCCCCCCCCCCCCCCATTCTTCTTCTTCACATTAAAACCTCACGCCTCTACCCCTCCCCTCCCCCCAAGTTTCAAATCACTGCTATAATGGATATGTAAGTAAAAGTAAAAGAACATTTTTGGATTTGAAACTCTTTGCTTGCTGCTGAAGATGGGGACTGAGCACTTATGGGAGTGTCCCAAGTGCTGTGATGTTGATTCTTAATTCAACATTTTGGTGGTGTCATCGGAATAAACTAAGTAATTTATATCATGAACATGAAACACAATGTCGCAGGATCTTTTATAAAACTTTTTGTTTTAATTATGTACCTTCTTTTATTTATTCATTTTTTAAATATTTTTATTTCTGTCTTTTATAAATTATTTTATATGTTTTTTGATTTCTAGACGGAACATATATTTTTTTTTTACATTTTGTTTTTCTGTTTCAGAAGCCGTATGCTGACAAGCAGCCATTTCCTACAAACTTTACTTCACGTAATCCAAGTGTTTATCTCATATTGTCTGATGCTGGTTTTTATGACGTACAACGTATGGCTGTGTGTGGCCATCATCTTGGGCGCAGGTGCTGGCTATTTCACATTCGGCTGGAAAAGGGCGATGGTGGTGGACTCAAATGAACATTGTCACTGAGTTGTAGCCTCTAAAAATATTAAAAATGAAAAGGGAATGTATTGTTTACTATACTGTACTATTAAAGATAAGACTCCACAATCCATCTTTCAATCAAAAATGGTCGAGAGAAATTATATATACATATATATTTAGTCTTCAGTATCACTTGCCACATTTTTATGCATTTTACGCCTAGTCATATTTGTTGCTGGACATTTAGCCAGATAAGCATATTTTAGAAACTTATTTCTAAAACTACAGAGGAGCCATTAACTGTTCAACCCATCTGTGCTGCATTTGTGCAAATAATATTAAGCCCTTCCCCATGCGGTACAAAACTTTTCTTCGTTATTTGAAGCCACACCCCGGCTGTGGTCGGGGATCCTAATTATAACAGGGTTTCTGAGACCTCGAGTGATCCTCATTCAAATTATGGCACTTTGTGTCACCGGTTGTTTATCGCTCAGTGTGTTGTCCTTGTGGGGTTAAAATATAATTCAGTCAGCTGTATTTGTGAATCTAATCCATCACCAAATCCATGCCAAAAATGAATCCCTTAGCTAACATGACGTTAATATCACGTTCAGGAAAGACGTCTGTTTATAAAGCCAGATAATTGCCTATTTCACCCATAGGGCAGTTTTAATTTGTTGGGTTGATTTTTGTGACCGTGCATGGTCTGAAGATTTATATGGCAATCTGGTAGATTGCACCTCATATTTTTACAGACCAATCAGCACTAGGTGGGTAATGTGGTCAGCATTACGCAGGCCATCTTTACTTCCCCAGGATATACATCCTGGTACCCATTCTAGGCTGGGTCGATTTGCAGTGGCTCATACCATGATGAAAATCCACGCAAGTCTGGTAGATTACAGATATAAAAATCTCCAGATTTCCAGTGCAGTAGATTACAGATTAAGAAATTACAGCAGAAAGAATGAGAGTTGAGCGTCTGAGAAGAAACGCACTAAATGTGAATGTTGGCAAAATGCTCAGCATCGCCATGGGCAATGAGTCGCATGCCTCCTCATAGCACAATATAAAGCTAATGTCTGGAAAGATGGAAAGGTGCCAATCATCACAGTTTATATATGTAGTAACAGAGTCTGGCAGAGAAAGAAGATGTCAAAGTTGGCAAAATGATTACGTATCTCAGAAGTGTTTCCCCTGTCGTCATCATCATCAGGTGCCTTGCCAACTGGCAGGGGCGATCATCCTCTCCACAATCCTTGATCTCCTGCAGCATGTATCAGTTCATGTGCTGACACACGTACATGCCATGCAACAAGACCGTGAAGGCAAGATTTCTTGGGGATAATACAGCAGTAGTTCCCCTTGCCTTGCACCAGTTTGTATATGATTTGACTCCAATATCCTTTATCTAAAGAGACTTACCCTGCAAAGCAACAGGGGAAAGAGGTTATGGCGCCTCTTACCCAACAATGGCCATGTTGTAGAGTTTTGAGGTAATTTACAGAGTGAGCTGTTCCACCAACTTACTCGCCTCCTGTCAGTGACCGTCACCTGTTTTAGTCCATGGCCCTTATTCAATATTGTCGTGGCCAACCTCTATATCTAGAGGCCTTTCCACCATCCGCCACTTGGTGAACAGACCTAGTAGTAGGACAGGCTCCTACTTCAGGGTTTTCCTTGTAGGAGATTTAAATAAGGACACTAGTGAATAATAACATCTGGAGCTGACTTATTTCTATGCCCACTGTTGGTTCCTTGTCTCTCAGGAAAGTGCTCTCTGACCTCGAAGGAGACACCCCTTATTAGTCAAATCTTTACAGAGGGTCAGTGGGTCACACCATCCCTTCCCTCAAATGAGGCGCTGGAACCAACACAGAGAACGTTGCAGGGTTTATTCTGGCAGAGATTCACTCAGACAGTTGTTCACAGTGACAAGGTTTGACATAGACAGGGTTTTACACTGGCAGGGTTTCATACTTACAGGATTTCATGTTGGCAAGGTTTGACACAAGCAGGGCTTGCTACTGGCAAAATATCAACTTGGATCACAATCCCATTTATCAGCAAGGATTCTAGAGAGAATGTGTGTGTGTGAGAGAGAGAGAGAGCTGATTTTTTATTTAATTTTAATTGTTTGCCAAGGTTTTGGCTGTCATGCCTACTTTTTACAATTCCCATCTGCAAAGGGGTTTTTAAACATGTGTATTGTGAAAGAATAAAAACTCTTGCCACATACAATTAGATAATATAAAAATCAAACGAACAGAAACATACAAGTACTTGGCTGCAAACTTCAGCTGCTCCAACATGCTGGGAGAAGAAATACAATCAACAATACAATCTGAAAATAAAATATAGTATGCCCATCAACATCTGCTAAAGTCAAAATCTATCTCACAACCTCAAGATCAAAATATATAAAACTTTGATAAGACCAGTTGTTTTATATGGCTCTTTGAAAACACAGTATTACGATGAATCTTTGGACCTATCAGAGTTGTAAACAGCGGTGAATGGAGAGTGAGAAGCAACAATGAAATTCATAATCTGTTTAAATCACCTCTGATCACTGGCATCATGAGAGCTAGTAGATTGAAATGGTTAGGGCATGTTGAGATAACAGAGAGGTAAAAACTGTCTACTCAAGCGTAATAACTGGTTGTAGACCACGAGGCAGACCAAGAAGACGATGGAGAGATAATGTCAAATAAAGGCCAACCAGAGAGATGAGTGTAGGTGGGTGATATCTGCAGCAATGAGCCTCAAGGGCTCGGAATGCTGAAGAAGAAGAAGAAGAGGTATTATGAACACAAGAGTCTTATTTCCCTGTGGGATTCCTTAAAATTGTGATTGGCTTGTTATGTTGTGGTTTACAGCTAGGCTGTGTTTTTTTGTGCATTTCAGGCCTACACTCAGCTTCTAGCAAACCCTTAATTAGTTCACTTTTACAACTTGACATGATTGTTAAGGGGCAACAGGTCGGTTCTTTTGATTCCTCCCTCAAAACATACCAGAACACACACAGGGGCAGCAGGTCGGTTCTTTTGATTCCTCTCCTAGAACATACCAGAACACACCAAGAGACAACAGATCTGTTCTTTTGATTCCTCCCTTAAAACATACCAGAACCCACACAGGGGCAGCAGGTCGGTTCTTTTGATTCCTCTCCTAGAACATACCAGAGCGCACACAGGGGCAGCAGGTCGGTTCTTTTGATTCCTCCCCCAAAACATACCAGAACACACAAAGGGGCAACAGGTCGGTTCTTTTGATTCCTCCCTCAAAACATACCAGAACACACAAAGGGGCAACAGGTCTGTTCTTTTGATTCCTCCCCTAGAACATACCAGAACACACAAAGGGGCAACAGGTCCGTTCTTTTGATTCCTCCCCTAGAACATACAAGAACCAACACAGGACATTGGATCTGTACTTTTGATTCCTCCCCTAGAACATACAAGAACCAACACAGGGCATTGGATCTGTACTTTTGATTCCTCCCCTAGAACATACAAGAACCCACACAGGGCAGGGGATCTGTACTTTTGATTCCTCCGTCAAAACATACCAGAACCCACACAGGGCATTGGGTCTGTTCTTTTGGTTCCTCTGTCAAAACATACCAGAACCCACACAGGGCAGCGGATCTGTTCTTTTGGTTCCTCCCCCACAACATACCAGAACCCACACATTATCTGAGAAAAGGCATTGAGTGTGCTATCTAGCCAAAGATAAGAAGTGAGCATGTCATTTAAGTTTTTGTACAAATGTTTCCTAAAGTTTAAATCAGACATCCCCTACATTTGGGTTCTTGGGCCCTATTCTGGGAGAAAAAGAATAGATCTACTAGCACATTGTCTTGACAACTAATTAGGAGTGTTTCCTTCCAAGTTGGAGAGCATCTGCCCGAGAGGCGAGGGACTAACAGTCTGCATATAGGTAAGCCAAATCTGTAAAATGGATGTGCATGCAAAACACAGGATCTGCAACAAAATCAAAGTACAGACGTGGATGAACGACCAGAACTCCCTGCTGGAGTTTATAGCCAGTGAACGCAAAGAAGAAGAAGTCAGACATAACACATAGAGCATGTGAGTTCTGTGATAGAAGGTAACTGACAAAGGCTGCTGAAATTGAATAAGTTGGGTTGAAATTATCACATATCACAGCCTAGCTTTAAACCACAACACAATGCTTCAACCACCCTGAATGCAGAAGAAGAAGAAAATACCACTGTGGCATTTTCGAGCAGGCACTTTATGCCTAGATCACTCCTATGACTTTGTAGCAAGCACTTTATGTCTGGTCCAGTGTTCTTCAACTTTGTCACATCCACTATCTGGCAAAACAGGGCGGATTGCTGTTTTTGTTGTGTGTGTGCACAATCTGAAAGCTAATTGAAAACAGAAACAAACCCAAGTGTATATAGCAGTTGATTTAAAAATAAAAATATTTTAGCTAAAGTGATATTTACTCCTGCTTAGAGTGAGAAAATCTGATACCTGTGTCACGTACAGAGTAGTGCCGGAGTCATAAAGCTGTTGCATAATTAGTTAAGAATTTTTGGGTGGACCACCAGTTGAAGAACACTGGTTTGGAACATTCCAACCTTTCATAGGCAGTTTATTACTTCTTAGTTGGGGGGGGGGGGGGGGGGGGGGGGGGTGTGGAGGAAAATGGGTCACTCATGGCCTAGATTAGGTGAAATATAATATTATTATTATTATTATTACAAAAAAATTGAACTTATTGATCTATGCATAATTGTTTTTCAATGTTTGAAAGAAATATTGTTTATTCTGTTAGGTGTGTTACACACAAGGTCTGCCCAAATCATGTGCCATCTTCATACTGATGGTAGCAGCAATCTGTTTATTTATGTTTACTCTTCTGATTACTCCCTTTGTACCATCTGGGAAGTAAAAGCAGCCAGCTTGACATTGACCACATCCTCTATCAAGTGCCAATCAGTCTGTAAAAATAGTCTGGTATTTCAAGCATGCTGCACCATTGACTGGGGGAAAAAATCCACAATTTTATTT